CAGATTTCATTCAGCTTTAAAACACTTCACGTCTCCTACAGAGCAGCAGGTCTCTGTCTTCACATCGATCAATGTGAGATTTGATTGTTCGGTATCGTTCTCACTAAAACCAACACAGACTCATTAAACTTCAGTTTCATTGAGCTCGGTCTCTGAGAGGCTTCAGTCCTCATGCAGCGGCGTCTCCAGCTGAGCTGTGGAGCTGGGATCCTCTTCAGCTCATGAGAATCAAAGAAATCTGCAGTGAAAAAGCAAAGATGAGGCTGAAAGAAATCTTCAATGATGAACTCTTATGAGAACGCTGCTCTGTCTTCCTCTCTAAACAACACATTTATTATTACTCAGCGTCCTACAAGCATGTGTGATGTCATCTTCACATCCTGTCTAAAACTTTTATTTCTTTGTCTGATGTTGTTGAAACTGTGATGAAGAGGCCGAGCTCTGTTCCAGGAGGATCCTGTTTCTAAGCACACGCAGTCTTCCGTGGGAATCGTCTCTGGTTACCTGGAAGAAGGACGTGTCCTTAAAGGTGTCCACAGGTGTGTCCACAGGTGCGTCCTACCAAAGGTGTCCATAAACAGTCAGACTGTGGCCGTGCTCACACGTTTACGTCACAGGCTATAAAAAGTGATTCCCGTGGTTTCGGAGCGTTTGATCCAGACCACATCAGGACAAGTTGTGAAACGTTGTGTGTGTTTCATGTCATCTGTGTGCGACTGAGGCAGCTGCTGCGCTTCTGTGGAATAACGTTGTGCTAGCAGCTCGCCATCATGTGATCCTCCTGCAGAGACTCTCACACCTGCACGTCAGCTGACTGCGTCCTCTGTTTCCACAGGTCGTCCTGATGGAGGCTCTGTCCCGCGGGGAGCGGCGTCTGAGCTCTGAGGAAGAGGACGCCGCCCCAGCTGTGGGAGTGAGTCTGTGTGACTCCGCCCCCTTGGTGTGGAGGATGCAGGACCTGAGGGCTGTTAGGGCTCAAGGCCTGGTGGGGGCACTCCTGGGGTCGCTGCCCCGAACGCCGCGACAGAACGGGCGCCTGGGTCGACCGCTGCTGCTGCTGCCGGAGGAGGAGGGGCTGCTGAGGGAGCGCCGCGCCGCTGCAGCCCTGCCGGACCGCTGCCAGGTCAGAGCGGGTCGTTAGAGGTGCTGGCGCTCATCGTGGCGTCTCATTAAGCTGGCCGCCATGTTGGCTGTTTCGAGGTCACCCTGTACATACAGTTAGCGTGTCAGGCGGCAGACATGTTTATTTTAACACGGGACTCTGCGGCACGGGCTCACTGCTGGTTGTCATAGGAACCGCAAGCCCGCGCGTCCTGTGTGTTTGATGTGTGGTTGTTCTCAGCAGGATTGGGGGGGGGCGGAGCTCCGTCAGAAGTACGAGGAGGAGGAGAGGAGGAGCTTTGAGGAGCAGAGCGTCCTCGCACTGGAGGACAGGAAGTCGGCGCTGCTCCGAGCGATGACAGGTGAGTGTTGGCGTGATGAGGTTTCTGCATGTACCCGG